CAATAATAAGTTAGTGACACTGATCCTGCAGCAGTTCAGGATTCAGCTGTCACTAAAGGTTTTCTGATTGTTCCAACAACGGTCAGAAAACTGAAACATTCTTCTTTCAGGAATAGAAACATTTTGTATCTATTCCTGAAAGTGAAAAAAAAAAAAAAAAGCCAGTATACGATCCGAGAGATAGCTCTCGATCTATACGAGCTGTCAGAATGCCGGCTTTTGGCGGCATGTTTGCCCGCTCTGCTTTGGCTCTCAGACACCCGATATTAAGGTATCAGGTGTCTGAAAAAGGTTAACCCTTTCAATAATGAATGCCTCTATACTGAGGCATCCATTAATGAATGGTAACCGCTGATTCTCAGTGGTTACCAGCCCTCTAATGCAGCAAATAACTCGTCACGTACAATGTACGTGACGAGTCATTTGGTCCCTTTGTGGCAGGACGTACATGTGTACGTCTCCCGTCACGAAGGGGTTAATAAGCTTATGACCATCGCAAGACAAAAGTCTTGCGATGGTCGTAAGGTGTGTGGGCACCTTTACTCACACACATCCACCGTGTAAAGGTGCCCACACACCTTACAATTTATCTGCAGATTTTCTGTGGTCAGATGGAAAAAGTGCAACAGATTGGCCCAGGTGGAGATTACTCCATCCACACAGTTAAAGAAGAAATATGAGGTGAGTGCTTTTCACTCACCTCCTAGTTCTAGCCGACCTGTGACAATGAGACTGTCACAGGTCGCTCAGTAGATCGGGAGGTGAGCGAACACATACCGGCGTATATATGAGAATACAAAAAAAAACATAGCACTGAGTAGGAAATACTAATAACAATCTGGTTTGACAGCAACATGTACACTGCATCTCTATTATCATATTATCTTAAGATGTTGAGCTGCAAGAGCAACAGAGCTTTCAATTAAGCTTTTCATGTGTTATGTCTATCTGCCTAGAGATCTACTAACTGCCTTACTTACTGCTAACAAAATGTTGTAATTCCAGGTTACATATGTGTGGCACTGTGTGTAGGAATTAAACACTGTTGCAATTTTATTTACCAGTTTATTTACCAGTTAAGTTGAGCTCTGAGTATTAAAATCCTTTACCCTTGTGGTAGGTCCTCCTCCCCATCTGCAAGAGTTAAAGGTTGCTTTTCACTCACCTCATAGTTCTAGCCGACCTGTGACAATGAGACTGTCACAGGTCGGCTCAGTAGATCGGGAGGTGAGCGAACACACACCGGCGTTCGCTCACCTCTCGATCCTTACCTACAGCTCGCGGTATACTGAGCCTAGGGTGACGGGAGGACGCTAGTTTGTGTCCTCCCGTTACCCTAAGGAGAACTATGGGGAAAAGCCTTAACCCCATAGTTCTCCTTTAAGTGTAGATGGAGGAATCTGTTGCAACTTTTCCATCTGACCACAGAAAATCTGCAGATAAATTGTAAGGTGTGTGGGCAGCTTAGCTCTCTCAGAAGGCTGTCTGAGTCCCAGGCCAGAGCAATATCATGCTTCAGGGCCTGTTCACACGACGTCCGTTTTGTGTGCTGACCTGATCCGTACGCTCCTGCACTAAAAATGCATCCCAAAGTATCCCTATATGTTTTATGGGCTACAGTTCTCACGTGCGCAGTCCGTTCAGGTTACGACAGAAACAATACTGCATGTCACATTTCGTACGGTCAGGAAACGCAAAACGCGGCAAAAAAACCCCGTCAAAAACGCACTGCACTGCAGCTAAGATACTGACAGCCCCCCTCCAGCAAAAATTATTATTATTATTTTTTTTAACTGGAACGCATCAAAAACGCGGCAAAAGCGCACTGCATCAGTAGCACCGCGTCTGCAGATCCGCACCTGATCAGGACCTGATATCATGTGAACAGGCCCTCAGCCTTCCCCTTTTATGTCACCTGGATAAGCAATCATTAGGCAATTAACTATCCAGGTGAGAGACACAAAACCAGAGCTGGATTATTCAAACCAAAAGTCAGCCCGAAAACCCGGTCTGGGTTCCGCTAGTCATGTACATAGGACAGAAAGCGAGGGGAAATATATCGCCCGTTGATAACTTCCCCATTCCTCATGTCACAATATATATATATTTTTTATTGTTTGCATACCTTTTCATCCCCATACTTCTCACTATGGCCATTTATACTAAGGGCAGATTAATATGGTCCAATTACCAGTAGCCAGTAGGACATGTGTAATACATCTTTACAAATGTTTGGTAATGGCAATCTACAAACAGATCCCTTTAGATAATTGCTGGGTTTTTATTCTTTGTCCCCATTCTTCTGACATCGGCCATTTTAACTAAGGGTAGATTGATATATCTCCCTTTACTTCCTGGAACTCTGGCACATGTGACTAGGACATGTGACCATGCACATAATCTCATCTCATGATTTTTAGTCAAAGGGGGTGAAGGTCTGTTTTAATAATGTAATGTGCTCACAACATTACCTTGTAGTGTGTATGTCTGGCCAACATTTCCCCATGTTTTGGAAAAGTAACAAAGTGAAGAAAGGTACAAAAGGGGTCAGCCATTCCACCAATGTAGCAAATAAAACAGAAGCATGTAAATGCTTAGTTTGTTGAGGAGGTCCCAGAGTTTTAAGCAGCACAAAAAAATATCTATTAATCATACCTAACTTCATGCGATGCACTTAAAATTGAATGAAACTCTCAACCTTTTTAAAAAAAATTGAATCCAAATCACACAAATTGACATTCATTTATTTCTTTACATTTTTGGCCAAGAGTTTACTGTCATTATGTTTCCAAACCTCTTGCTCCAACTCTCTCAGCTCAGCTTCCCTGAACGTCCTGTCCAGTGCAAGATCACAAGGGACAGAGCAGTCTCCAGTAGCTGTACCTCTACTAGCTAGGAAAAGGGAGGAAGGAGTGTTTGTGGGAACTAGCACACATAAGGGTGTCTCCATAGAACTCAGCAATGGAAAGGAACCACCATAAACAGGATATGAGGACCAGTGCTCATAGGATCTGATGATTCTGCAGGAAAATAAAACTTTTAAACATCACGGAGCAGCATCCACTGTAAGTGATTTATTCAGCATTTGTGTTTTTAGCCTTGGTTACACTTCAGTTCTGTGGATTACAGAACACCCCCTAACACATTTCTAGGGTGACAACGTTGCTCATATATGGATACAGTACAGGGAGTAAATATTGCTACCCTAGGAAAGGAAGTGTGTTTCTGGCAGGTACTGAGGACTGATGTGTTAGCCTATAAGTTATATAGCTCATATTATAACTACTTTTGAAGTGTGCAAAGACTTTAGTTACCTGACAAAGATACTGCGTCTGAAAAGCAGGCTTCTGAACAAATAAAGCTAAACTTCGATTATCAAGAATGCCAAATTGTATACAGTATGCTAATTATGTTGAAAAAAACATATTCATGTATGATGCATATCAGTAATAATTGCAATGTAAATTTTTGTGTTTCAGGTTGATGTCCTTAAAAAGATTACAAGTTATTTCACAACATTTGGTGAGTGCAACTCTTAAATCGTAAGGTGGATGAAGGTAAAAATAAGTCATTGTTATATTATTGTGTGCAGCCAAGTATTCCACAGTTATGGGTTATACTGCTCCGATATGCCTGAAGAAGCAGCAGCTGTCTGCAAAACATGTAGGGAGAGGCTTCCATCTTTGACCCAAGTAATCCTGATTCCTCTTTCTTTCATCTCCGATTTATTCTGATCTGCAACTTAATGAAATAAGGACTAACGTAGAGTATAAAACAGGAATGAGCTTTATTGATTTTGCAAGCAGATGTGAGGTCCTTTGGTGAAATGTAAAGGCTGAATTGCCTGCCACTCTGACACTGAGTGAAGACGCACACTGGTTGGATTCTGTGGAACAACTCTACCAACCATTTGAGAGGTGTGTGTTGCTAATATTGTGATATTTTGTTACTTTCTGCCATTTTGTGTTACTTTATAAAGATGTAAATTAATAGGTTAGAAAACCTAAAACAGATCATTGAATTTTTGGGTAGATATGTTGTCTGGTTGTTTCTATCTGGACTATAGTGGTGAAATATAGATAGTAATTTATTAAATGGAAATTACAAATATATAAATATGGACCACTTTCAAAGCCATTCTAACTGTCAGAAATTACATATCATTAACCTAAGCCAGAAGATAATAAAGTAATATTTCAATTGTGTTATAAAATAAATTATTGCAGAATCACATGACATCCATCTCTATGCCTCATCATAGTATGTTGTCTTTTCATGTTGATTCACTGTAAATCTGTCACTAAATTTAAAGGGATTTCGGTGTCTTTGTAGCACAAGCTTGAAACATTTAAGGAGAACTATGGGGTTAAGTCTTTTCCACAAACTATGGTCCGCCCATCACCCTAGGCTCAGTATACCGCGAGCTGTAGCTCGCGGTATACTGAGACGCTGAAGCGGATCCCAACAATTGTGCCGGGATCCGCCCAGCTGCGTGACTGACAGCTGGCTCTGCCTATGTAAAGGCAGAGCCAGCTGTACCCGCCCCCTCCCCCGTCCGTTCCGCCAGTCAGCGCTGGCGGATTGGAGCGGGGAGGGGGGGAATCCAGCCCCCCCCCCCTGTCACGGCAGAGAGCCGTGTGCTCCGCCCAGCTGCGTGACTGACAGCTGGCTCTGCCTATCTAGAGGCAGAGCCAGCTGTACCCACCCCCTCCCCTGTCCGTTCTGCCAGTCAGCGCTGGCGGATCGGAGTGGGGAGGGGGAAATCTAGCCCTTCCCCTGTCACGGCAGAGAGCCGTGACAGGATCGAGAGGTGAGCGAACGCCGGTGTGTGTTCGCTCACCTCCCGATCTACTGAGCCGACCTGTGACAGTCTCATTGTCACAGGTCGGCTAGAACTATGAGGTGAGTGAAAAGCAACCTTTAACTCTTGCAGATGGGGAGGAGGACCTACCACAAGGGTAAAGGATTTTAATACTCAGAGCTCAACTTAACTGGTAAATAAACTGGTAAATAAAATTGCAACAGTGTTTAATTCCTACACACAGTGCCACACATATGTAACCTGGAATTACAACATTTTGTTAGCAGTAAGTAAGGCAGTTAGTAGATCTCTAGGCAGATAGACATAACACATGAAAAGCTTAATTGAAAGCTCTGTTGCTCTTGCAGCTCAACATCTTAAGATAATATGATAATAGAGATGCAGTGTACATGTTGCTGTCAAACCAGATTGTTATTAGTATTTCCTACTCAGTGCTATTTTTTTTTTTAATTCTCATATATATACCTTGACAGATTTCTAAAGCACCTACACAGCCAACTTTATCAGTAAAAACAAATGTATTATTTACATTGTTAAACATTTTTATCATCATAAAACCCCAATACAATTATCATATCAATCAATCATATTGCTCCCCATGTGTTCATACACATTTGACTCCTATATAAGTCCCACCCATAATTTGTTACACTTCATTTGATAGTTTAAACATATAACATACCATTAATCATACCGGTTGGATCAGGGTATATGGGACACTTGAGCTCTATGCATTTCAAGTACAGTGTCGCTTCCTCAGGAGCAAGATAGAGACATAATTATGCTAGATGCTGGTCATATATAGGGAGCCAAGCACTCAAAAAGCCAACCACCCAGGTGGGCACAGAGACACAGTCACACGGTCACAGATCTCTCCATCTCTTGCCCTTAAATCTTGACTACTGGCTGACATATGGAAAACCTCCATATTCTTTCTTCAAGTACCATGATCACAGCTCCAAGGGGAAAACAGTACAGTAGTTAATACATGCAACAAGGGAAAGAGATAAAGAAAGTCTTCCAACTGGATAATCTAAAAAGAGCAAGATAATGGTTGTATTCATATTACCTCCAAGCAGTGGTATATTAAGGTTTTGTGCTTTGTTGCGTTAGTAGTGTAGCAGGGAAGCCGAGGTTTCAGGTGGGCTGTAAAGGATCTTTTGTGACTCCACATTGCCCACCTGAGACCTTGTGGAGCCCTCCACAGGCTCTGCGCTTAGTGAAGCACTGGGCTCTGCGCTTAGTGAAGCACTGGGCTCTGCGCTTAGTGACGCACTGGGCTCTGCGCTTAGTGATGCACTGGCCTCTGTGCTTAGTAAAGCACTGGGCTCTGCGCTTAGTGACGCACTGGGCTCTGCGCTTAGTGATGCACTGGGCTCTGCGCTTGGTGACGCGCTGGGCTCTGCACTTAGTAATACACTGAGCTCTGAAATTAGCAAAACAGTGAACTTAGAAGTAAAACAGAAGAACACCCAGGGAATACTCAGAATACAAGCCCTCCCTAAGCCCTGCTACCTGCTTGTCGCTCTGTCTCCTCAGTAGGTGCAGCTTGGTCACTAGTCAGATGCTTCACCTCCAGCAGAGCCTGCACTGGAAGAAGGGAGGAGAGCAGCAGCTGTGGATGTAAAAGTGCAGCTCGCTATACGCATTGACAGTCCTGAAGCCTCCTGTCTTGCCTTCCTGCTCTCGGATCCAGTTCGCCACTGTCAGTAGCCCTGGGGCGGCCGGGCCGCATCTCACGTGACCCTGGCCCAGCCCCGCCTCCGGTCCTGCCTCCTCCACCCAGCAGCTCTCTCAGGTAAATTAGGCAGCCGCGAGACCCAACAAGCGGTCGCCTAATTTGCCTGATTAGGCAGCCTGGCCCCCCGCAATGATTTGGGGCGGCAATCTGCCGCCCCCCTGCAAAGTGCAACCTTGCGACTTGTTTGCCTTGCAGAGGAAACGCCCCTGCCTCCATGTAATCACAAACTTCTATCCCTGCCAGCAGTAGAAAGAGGGTGTATACCGCAAACCAAGTTCCATATTGTGCATATAAATGCTTAGCCGTCTTTTAATGTCCAGGCCAGGAGAGATGGTCTCCCTCCCGGTCATTAGTGTAGCTATTAGCTGTAGATCCGGATAGGGCTGCAACAACTAATCGACATAATCGATTATTGAAAAAGTTGTCAACTTTTTCAATAATCGATTAATCGGCTTCTGATGGTTGGCCCTGTTCGGCTCCACACACACTGCGCGCCCCACCTCCTCCCCACCTCACGCTCGCCGCTGCCAGACCTGCCCGCATCCACGCTCCGCACCTCCTCCGTGCCTCACACTCACCGCCCGCCCAAATCCACGATCGTTTTGAAAATAATCGTTAGCTGCAGCTCTCGATCCGGATCAAGCATCCTCTTACCAGTGGACTTTGCTGTGTATGTCCTTGCATGAATGCTTTGTAAGTCACTGACCTGTCACAGGTATGTAATACTCCTGATATGCATACTAGTTTCAGGTCAGTGGCTCAGAAAGCACGGTAATTAGAGGATCAGCACAACAGCTAGGCGACTAACATTTTGAGAAGGAGGTCATCCATGGCAGCTTGTACAGGAATATGTTTCTTCTGACTGTTTAAAAAAAAAATGAAAATACAGATTATAGATGTAAGGAGTTATATAGTGGGGCAGAGCAATCCACTGCCATATTTGATCTCCTGCTGGGTGGAATTTTATTGTTTAGCTATTTTGTGTCTTTCCTCTGACTTTCTGCTGAAACCCAGAAAAATTCTGGTAAGGCATTTGGTTTAATGTAAAAAGAAATACCCTTTCAACCTCCAGCTGTCAGCATCAGCCAGGGACACTCTAATGGTGGTTCTTTGCAGCTTGCATGACCAGACCCAAGGCGTAGACAAGATAATGCCAGTTACACACAGTCCTCTTAATTATCTTTATTAAAGCTTCATATACATCGAAGTCAATAAGCAAGCTAGACTGATTCATTGCAGACCTAAAGCTTGCTTTTAATCAAAGCATATGGCTAAAGGCCAGCTTTAGGTCCAAAATGCAACTGACTGCTTTTTTTTAATACTGATGATACTCTATAAAGGTTATATGATACACTAATAAAGGTTACAAAGCACATTTCTAATGTTATCTTGCTTTACTATTTGGCTTCATCCAAAAATGTTCTGAGAACCTTTGTGTGCTGAGTACTTTCAGGTTCACAATACCACTGCATTTTGTGGACTGAAAGGAGCTCAAAGTCCATGACTCCAGCCACAATGAACAATTTTCTAGTTGTAACAGCCTTGTGCTTTTCTGTAAAAAGTGAAAAGAACTTTTAAGTTTGCATTGCCACTGTGAAATGAATGCCACGTTACATGTCGGAACATTAATGTGAGCCCATTAGGATAGGAAATGGAGAAAAATAGAGAACTGCCATTGCCAGTTTGTGTTTAAAGGCTCTGCCTGTCAGCGCTGGAGGATCGGACAGGGGAGGGGGGGTAATCCCTGAAGGGAGCTGAGAGTGACAGTCACGGCTCTATGCAGGGATAGATCGAGAAGTGATCGAGCGCCGATATGTGTTCGCTCACTTCCCGATCTACTGAGCCGACCTGTGACAGTTTCATTGTCACAGGTCGGCTCAGATTATGAGGCTGAGTGAAAATCACTCACCTCATAGTTCTCCTTTAAGGTCAGTCACAAGCTAATGAAACCAGGATCAGCATCACAGCACTAGAGCTTGTTTCTCTAATAACAGATATAGCAACTGCAGTTCCGATATGTTTCATTTCTTCTCAGGTGACCTGTAAAGTTTTTAAGTGGCTTATTTTTTTTTAATTATCTGTTGTAATTTAATAAAATGTATCTTGATCATATTAGATTATAAACACAAACATTTCCCTTTTTTTAATTTATTTTTAATTATAGACCATGTCCAGTCACTCTCCATCAGAAGCAGAGGTCCTTCTAGCAAAGAGTGGATGTGCAGGAGTAATCACAATGAACAGACCAAAGGCTTTGAATGCCTTAAACCTTAACATGGCCCGCAATATTTATCAACAGCTTAAAGTAAGTAGATAGTAAAATTATAATTGCTTTTTATTACAATGTGCTTTGATGGTAATGTTCTAAATGTTAGCTCCCATTCACATTTGTGGCAGTGGTGCATCACAGCGTGCATGTATGTGCTTTTTTGTGCATCACGTTTAGGCCAGCCAATTCCTTTTACGGCATTCACACCATAGTCCCTGTGCCTTTTTTTTTTTTTTTAAACATTGGCACCAAAATGCATGCTAACAAAATACATGGTGCACACATATCAAATGCATCGTGCAGCAACAATCATTGGGGTGCCATTAAAAATAAATGCCACTGCAACGTGTCTTAGAAAATGACACACAAACATGAGCAAAAACGCACGTTGCCATAGTGCACAGATGTGGACAGAGGCTATTGTTGTTGCATGAACAATCATAAACTCCTGATGATTTAAAAAAAAAAAAAGCTCTCATGTCAGCTTAGCAGTGAACTGTATTGCGTATGGTAGGCACTATTTTTGCATGTGTTCCTTCTTATAAGCACTGTGCTGTGAATTTTCTATCAAACATTGGGGGACGTTTATCAAAACTGTAGCAAACAGAATCTGGAGCAGTTGCCGTTGGCAACCAAGCAGCATCTCTCTTCAGTTTGCTCAGGTAAGATTTGAAAATGAGAGAGAGAAGCTGATTAGCTGCAGTTCAAATCTGCTACAGTTTTGATCAATTCCCCCCATTGTTTTTTTCACATTTTATTTGGTTACATGTCTTCCTTTGCTATTCTGTTCTAGCTTTGGGAAGAAGACCCAGACACATTTCTAGTGATAATTAAAGGCTCTGGAGGAAAAGCATTTTGTGCTGGAGGTGACATCATTGGTAAGGGCTATTTAATTTGATTTGATGAGTACCGTAAATATCTGGCGTAAAGTTTTTCTTCTTTTCTACTACCACAAAATGATGACATTTACATAGATGTCAACCTCCGGAAAAGCTTCCCAGGGTGACATATTATCATAGAAGCTCTGCTAGTACTTATTTCACAGAGACTAATAGCAGGTCATACTACACTGCCAAGGAATCATTGTAGATAGATAAACCTCTGCATGCCTTTATCAAGGTAGCGTCCTAAACTTCCTGCAGTGACCTCTGTTGTACCCCAGTTCTTGTTGTGGAAGCCCTGCAGGAGTCTAGAAAACCTGCCCTCTGCATTCTGGATGTGTAGTCACAAAATAGGTTTCTGGTGTCCTCTTCTTCTGTAGAATATAGGAAATTATGGACACCGGCACTCCAAGGTAGAATAACGTCTCTTTATTGACGTTTCATGCAACAATACACTTATTGCAACGTTTCGGGGTCACACACGATCCCCTTGATGCCACTGGTAAGACAATCATTGTCTTACCAGTGGCATGTTTGAAGTGATGCAGGACCTCTGATTTATATTGTAGCTTTAAAGTGACATTAAAGTCACAATTCCCCCCCACGCTTACCCTAAATTATGCCTCTTGATCCAATCATCTTCAGCTTTTCAGTAGTATTCAGGAGTCCCTCCAGCGCTGGTGCCGGTCTCTGATCCAGCGCTGACTCCGGTCTATTCCTGTCCCTGGGAGTCTGTCCGCGTGCACACTCACGGCTGTGTGCTTTGACTTTCACCGCGCATGCACCTGCCCCATGATCCTTCACGTTCGCTCAAGAATCTTCAGACGGGAGCGAGCGGCGGAGAAACAGGTAAGTAATTACCTATTTGGTAACTTTTTAAATTTATTTTTTATGTTTCTGCATATATCTTGCTACCAGTGTTTAATTCTACTTTAATAGAAAAGCGCAACCCATTCTCTCCCTAGAAGCAACATGCTAGAGGCTGTATTTCTCTATTTCCTCTCTTGCCATAAATGTGATATCAGATTTCTTCCTAATAGACTCTGAAGTTGAAACCCAGTATCATAGCTTGTCCTTGATAAAGTGATGGCATTCCCACGGCAGGCAGAGCAATTTAGTAAAACAGTATAATATATGAAACACATTCACGAGACACATTTTCTAAATGCTTTGGTACATATCTGTGGTTTCTGAAATAGAATCATTTCAGGTCGATAAAAGCACAATTACAGCGCAGAGCGTACCTCTATGAGCTGCATCTAATTTAGTTATCCTTTTAAACAAAGAAAGCTAAATAATATCGTTAATGGAACAATTTGAGTTTTATAAACCTAGGCAGAATTTTATTTTGACTTTTTGACTATTAATCTTTCTGCATTACACATTGTGAAACCAAAACATCAGTGTGCAAAATAAGCAATGAATAAATAGTGAACATTTGCTTCTATTTTCTAAACTAACCAAACCCATGTTATGTCTATGGACGGTAGGATGTAAGCGAACCCTTTACATCGATTTCCCCCGATCCATCATGATAAGATCCGCTAAAAAAAGAAACTCTGTTTTATTATTTTATCGGGCCTAGATGAAGTATGAAAGTGACCGTACTGTTTTATTTTAGCTCACATTTAGATGTTTTTATCTTTTGGTATTACTGTACCTTTTTTATTGTTCATTACAAAGGTTACATTCCTGTTGCTAAGCTGGGTACACTATGTCAATGCACTACTAGTATCTGTTCTGCTAGTTTTTTTATTACGCAATAATTGCCAACTATTTGAAAATAAGCTATGTAAAAATTGTTCCTGGCCTGTTTGAAATATTATCTAGCTGGTTAGTGTTACTAGGTTATTACTGTTAAATTAGTGAATGAAAACTGACTTTATATTTTCAAATAAACTGTTTAAGAGTGTTTGGCATCTTCTAAAATCTGAACTTTCTATGTTTTTCTAATTAGCTGTTACTAATGCTGGAAAGTCAGGAGACAGATTTGCCCAAGACTTCTTCAGAGAAGAGTACACTCTAAACAATGCTATTGGTATGGATTAAAATTGTTACATATTGTGGTTCACGTTTTAAAAAGACCATACAGATGTTTGGTGATGGTTGGTTCAATATGGCAGTTTTAATGACTCAAATTCAATTATTCAACAAACTGGTTGCCTATGGGGGAAGCAAGATTGTCTAGAGCATTAAAGTGTATCTAAACACAGAACATATTGCACCTTACCAGTCCTTAAATGTGGTGGTTGCATTTGTTTTCTTTTTGTTTCCTCTATCATTCACCTAATGATAGAGGAGCAGTGTTGTCACTATAGTACAGGAAGTGCGCTATCAGGACTAACATGAAGGGTAGGTTCTGTTGTCCACAGAGAGAACTGGAAACGATGATAACTTGAGGCTAGGTTCCCACCTAGGCGACTCCTGACCGCGCGGTAATCAGCACAGTTTGGTGCACAATTGCTGCGCGATCAGCAGTCGTCAAGGTGTGAACCGATCGCTGTGTGGGTGCCATTATTTTCTAATGGCACCCCAGTCGCACCAGGCAGATCACGCGGTCTCCCACCACCATTCCGCCCGTGCAAGTGAACACGATCTAAAAAAGCCACGTCGTGTGTCGCAAAAAAGGTACTTGTACCTTTTTTGAGCGATTGCCGCGTGGATGTCACTGCATTGAAATCAATGGGGCCTTGCAGCAATCGCTGTGTGCACTAGCACACAAACCCGGTGTCGTGCAGTGTAGTGCAGGTGTGAACGTAGCCTCAGACAGTGTAACAGAGTGTACAGGAAGTTTTATTTCAGGCAGAACCTACAGGTAATTTTGCACTTATCGAACACATAAGTTCACTGTGAGGGTTTGATACCTGCAAGCACTTGAAAGTTTCAATCGGTTCTTAGTGGTGTCTTTTCATAGTTCAATTTCATGGCTTACACCGAAAAGTGCATAACCATGATAACTTTGTAGGTGTGTGACAATTCACTTTCATATTCAGAATCCCAGTGAAATTTTTACACACTAATGCAGTCTACTTACGTATATTACATTTCCCATTGGGTAATAGGGAACATAAAATGAAAGCCCATTCGAAGACCCAGAAACATATATAGTCAGATAGACATTTATTACCAATATATTAGAGTAGTTATACAGGGTGTCTAAATGTGTCTTTGCAGTCTAATAGGCATAACAAAAGACTCACTGCTCTGTGTACCTGAAAACACAACTTTGTCATGTATATCTGCATGATTTGTAATTCTATTGATATAGCATTATGGTAGCATGTAGTATGTTTTTGTTAAATAAATAGACCTGGACCTCTCTTGAACATACCGTATTTTGCGCTCCATAAGGCGCACCAGACCATAGGACACAGGGAGGTCCGGTGCGCCTTATAGAGCACTGAACAGACCGGAGCTTCTGTCACAGCTTCTCGATCGCCGCCGCTTCTCGGTTATAATACGAGTGATCTGATTAGATCACTCCTATTAAACGAGCGGTGGCTCCTACTGTACTTTTAGCTCTGCTTTAGCAGGGCTAAATGTACAAAAAACTACGCCCGGCGCCCGAAACTGCATGTCTCCGCCGTCGTGGGATAGGGATTCGCTCCATAAGACGCAGGCACATTTCCCCCCGCCTTTTGGGGGGAAAAAAGTGCGTCTTATGGAGCGAAAAATACGGTATGTAATTTCCAACTATTACAATGTATTCTGTTACAGTGAATTATGGCTGAAGCCAGTGGCTCTGCAGTACTGGACATGATTTTTTTATTTTTATTTAAAGCAGTTATAACAAAAATCAATTTATATATTCATGCAAACATTTTAATATACTGTAGCGCTCACCATCTAAGGAGCCGCTGAATATGAATTTGGCTCTCCTACCTGTTTTGACAGCCACCAGCCCTTTTTCTCAGTTCCAGCAATACCAACACTTTAGGATAGAACAAGCTCGAGTCATAGGGTCTTTTTAGTATATATCGCTTAGTAATAACTACAAGAGAGGGTTAGGGTTGCAGGATACAAGAGTAACACATATAGAGGACAGTGTCTTCACCATTAACAATAGACGTAACAGATCGCAAAAGGTCACATGAGATCGACCAGGATAGATTGTAGCATCAGAGAACAGTCCAGGACTCTAAAGGAGAACAGTCACAGGACTTACAGTGCACCAACTGGATTCCCTTCTGTATAATATCTGAATATATGGCGAGGGATCTCTCACAGGGTCCAGACGGCAGCTCTCACGAGCTCCTATGCGACACTCCTCAGTAAGCAGATTCTTCCTCCAGCCCAGCTTCCATCAGGTTTCTTCTCAGTAACATATTAGGCCTCTAGGCCCCCAGCATCTGACACATGCTGAGGCCTAGGCCAGGCATCTTGCAGCATACAGACCTCCTCCCAGGGAGAGGCCCCAGGGGAGAGAGTTCTGTAAGGTGTTCCCAAATATGTATCGCCTTCTTCCAGCCATATCTCTGAGTGAGCCTGCTCAGGGATTGGTCAGAGTCAGATGTATATTCATAATATGAGAATTGATACTCCCACACTGTATGCTGAGTCCCCAACCCAGCAGCAGATAGAATCAATCAATCCACCAGACTTAGGGAAACCTAAAGCATAGAAATTTTCTTTTTAAGCAGTAATGTTGGCTAATGACTGCAAAAACAATACAGTAAATAATTGCGTCCTGGATTCTACAAATGTCTTACCTACTGTTCTAAAATATAATTTGTTTTACAAAAAAAAAATCTAAATTCAGACTATAACTGGATATTGCCATTTTAAAAATAAAAAATCCCAGTGATTGTTGATCCAGGAATATCCAATTGCCTAATGGGATCAGAAAGGATTTTTTTCCCCATTGGAGCTAATTAAACCATGCCTTCCTGTTTTTTTTGCCTTCCTGAGGATCAGCTGTGGGTGACTGTGGGAATAGAGTTCTGATTATAGAAGTTTTTTACTATTTGTTTTTTTTTTCTGTAGGTTGAACTCAATAGACTTGTGTCAACCTGACTGACTATATAACTATTCAGCTTTATTAGTTTTAAAGAGTAAGACCACAGTTTCTAAACCTTATATGCTTTCTGACTGTTCTTGGGCTTTAAATGTACCCTGTTATTACCATAAAAAAAGTCTAGTGTCTTGCAAAGCTACAGCTGCTGCTGTTCTCAGTCTCATTCGGACCTGTGTCTACAGACTTTTGTTAGCTTCAAAGGGGTTTGGCATTCCCAGACAAGTCTATATGAATGCAAAGCCTATTTGAAGGAGGTCAACTGCAGGTCAAATGCACCTGTCAATGAATTCTGAATGATCTCAGAAGTGTCTCAATCTGATGTCAAACTGATTCCATCAACACAAGCCCTTATAGTGCTAGTCAATGAAACACACAGATATTTATGTCAGCTACCTGTTAAGATGTTCTGCCTTGCTGATCTTTTAATTTTTTGTTTGCCAGGAACATACAAAAAACCCTATGTCGCTATCATTGATGGAATAACAATGGGAGGTGTAAGTATTATGTGTGCTTGTTCTATAATATTTAACACAAAATGGAAATTATGTAAAAAATTATCTTTTTAATTTTAAGAAGTACCTCCAAACTTTTAAAGCGGAACTAAAGTCCGCAAATACCTCCGCTCCAGCGATGTGTCACCTGTGAGCTCCCTCATCGGTACTGGCATCTCCCTGGCACAGGCTGGTGCAGGGTCTTCAGCTGTCTTGCTGGGCTGGTGGGGGAATGACGTACCTCCTGTGCATTCGCATGGTAGTTCATTCATACCGGCATCAAGATGTGTCTAAAATGTACAGTGAGTTGTGCATGCGCAGCTCAGTATACATTCTAAAGAAGCTTACGAATAGGCAGGTAAGTTTGTTTTATTGTGGCGAGACACAGCATGCAATAAAGAGCCTGCCTTCTAGAAGTTTTCCATTTTTTCACTTTAGTTCAGCTTTAATATGTTTGTAGTAGTATAAAATAGACATTGTTTACAGTGCCTCTTGGAAAAACATTATTATAAAAATGTGGTTATCCACATGATGACTGTCATTACTAGGGATGCACCGATACTAGTATCGGTATAGGTGCCGATACCGAGTGTTTGGGCGAGTACTCGTACTCGCCCAAATGCTCCGATGCCTAGCCCCATACCTCCTTTATCAGGAAGCCAGCGGGCACGTCATTACACGCTGCCTGGCTTCCTGATTGGCCGGGAAGCTGGCTCCATGCTCACTTGTGACGAGAAAGCATAGAGCCGGCTTCCCGGCCAATCAGGAAGCCGGGCAGCATGTAATGACGCACTGCCCGGCTTCCTGATTAGTCGGGAAGCTGGCCAATCAGGAAGCTGGCCACCGTGTAATGACGCAGCGCCCGACTTTCTGATTGGCCGGGAAGCCGGCTTCATGCTCCCTCGTCACCTCATGACGAGAGAGCATGGAGCCGGCTTCCTGGCCAATCAGGAAGCCGGGCGCCGCGTCATTACACGGCGCCCGGCTTCCATGATAGGCCAGTAAGCCTTCTCTCTCGTCACTATGTGACGAGAAGCATGGAAACGGCTTCCTTGCTAATCCGGAAGCCAGGTGGCAAGTCATTACATGCCGCCTGGCTTCCTGAATGGGACTTCCGGTTCTGTATTCGGTATCGGCGAGTACCGGAAATTTTTTTTTTATCCTGTCTGTTTCAATGATAGTAGGACAGAAAATTAGGGGAATGTCTGTCACAGGGATAGAAAATATGGCAGAAATTCTATCCCTTCCTCACTCTGTTAAAACAATGAAAAAAAATGCCTGGAGTTGGTCTTTAACATAACCAATTCTTACTCTTAATCCTAACCTTTAAACTCAATCTGAACTCATAACCCTATGTATTAACCTGATAATTACCACTGTAGAAGGGATGCAAAAACTACTATTGTAATGAATACACTGAAAAATGCTGCCAAAAATTAGTGCTAAAACACAACACAACAAATTTACTGCACCTAAAACACTTCCATTTGCTGCACGTAACCTAGAGTTTAGTCCTCAGTATTAGAGTGAAACAAACCAGAGAGCAACACTAAAGAGTGTTTTCTGGCTATTAAATGTATAAGGAGGCACCTCTTGGTGGCTGCTTTTAGGCAGGAGGCTATATGTTAAATCTGACAGGTCCACTTTAAAAGGGTGTCTACTGCAAATAAAAAGTAGATCTTCACTTCATATTTCTCTGTGTCATTAAATAGAGATCTCTACCCTATCCTACTCCTACCTTCTGTGCATTCTGCAGGACCCTCATCCCACTGGATATATCAGTGCCAACAAAATGATTAAAGTGCATTAAAGGAGAACTATGAGGTTAAGGCTTTTCCCCATAGTTCTCCTTAGAGTAACGAGAGGACACAAACTAGCGTCCTCCCGTCACCCTAGGCTCAGTATACCACGAGCTGTAGCTCGCGGTATACTGAGACGCCGCAGTATACACTGAGACGCCGCAGCTGAAGCGGATCCCGACAATTATGCCGGGATCCGCCCAGCTGCGTGAGTGACAGCTGGCTCTGCCTATCTAGAGGCAGAGCCAGCTGTACCCGCCCCCCCGTCCGTTCCGCCAGTCAGCACTGGCCGATCAGAGCGGGGAGGGGGGAATCCAGCCCCTCCCCTGTCACGGCAGAGAGCCGTGACAGGATCGAGAGGTGAGCGAACGCCGGTATGTGTTTGCTCATCTCCCGATCTACTGAGCCGACCTGTGACAGTCTCATTGTCACAGGTCGGTTAGAACTATGAGGTGAGTGAAAAGCACTCACCTCATAGTTCTCCGTTAAGAGGAAGGGACCATAAAGTATAAAGGTATAGCAACAATGTTTCAAGATCATTCTAGAAATCTCGCAAAATTCAGCTTTGGTGTATCTTGATTACATTCTCTGCTAAGCACATTATGCTTGCGTGAGAAGTTTAAATACTGACGTAAAAAGAGGACAGCTCAGTAATGCCTAAGTAAACTGTAGGCATTTATGTCCACAATTGCCAATATTTTTACTGTTCTGACATTTTGCAAATGGAAAAACACATTTACATATGTTGAATGATTGATCTTGAAATCAAACAAAACATACTATATTATATTTGTATTTCTAATGTAGCTGTAAGCATCTGCGGCTAGTAAGTAACTTCACTGCTGATGCAAAATGAAAGAAACTCTTAACACTCTGGACTCTGTTTTTAAAAAAAATTGCATAGCTTATTTGACCAGCTAAACTGCATGTACATACCAGCTGTTGTTAGAATGGGGAAAAAACAAATGTTCTTCGTGTATTTCTCTTCTGGTTGAATGCTTTTCAATGGGGAAAATACTGCATTATGGCCACTAGATGGAGCTGAGGATCTTAGGAAATAAATACATTTTGGTAAGGAGATACAATGTTGCAATCCAAGAGCCCACTGGGGGGGGGGGAATGAGCATATAAATGTAACCATTTCTATCCCTTTAGCATCTAGGTTTACATGTATATGCTTATTCCATCCAGCAGTCTCTTTATTTGTAACATTGTATGTCCTTGCTGATGTGTTTATTCGCTATGATCCTCAGTTCAATCTGTTGGCCCTAACACTGTATTTTCCCCATTCAACATGTTCTTTGTGAATCTACCTATTAAAGAACATTCGACCTGAAAAGAAATTATACTTAAAACAGTCATTTTTGCCCCATTCTCACAAGAGCTGGTTAACTTGAATGTTATCTGCAATTACACCGGATGATAAAGTTATGCAATCTTTTTTTATATAAATAGACCCCTAGACGATGTGGTGGCAGCATTTCTCCCTATTTTCACGTTTTGTATTTGTAAGTACTTACCAAACAGAAACCCACATCACATATCTCACTCTGATTTGTTTTTTTTTATTTCTTTGCAAGATAAATCATCCAAAAGTGTAGAACACAAACCCACGAACACTGTGTATAAAAAGGCATCTACACAAAAAAAAATATTTTGCCATAGGACAAGATTTGAAATTTGTTTATTTTTAGCCTCATCAGTTCAAAATTATTTCAGGGATTCATAATTGCCATTTTGAAGTAGAACTCCTGGCAAAAACAAGATGCATCCAAAATACAACAAAATTGAATAATAATGATTCCAAAGATAAACTGTACATTTAAATATAACCCCAATTCCCAAAAAATTGGGTCCGATGTGAAAAATCTACATAAAAACAGAATTCAATGATCTCAAATCTCATAAACCCATATTTTATTCACAATGGAAAATAGAAAACATATCAACTGTTTGAACTGAGAAAATGTTCCATTTTAAGAAAAAACAAATGTCATTTTGAAATTGATGTCAGCAACAGTTCTCGAAAACGTTGGGACAGGGCAACAAAAAGCTGACAAAGTAAGTGGTACTTAAAAGAAAGAGCTGGAAGACCATTTTGCAACTAATTAGGTTCATTGGCCAGTAACATGATTGGGTATAAAAAGAGCATCTTAGAGAGTCAGAGTGTCTCCGAAGTAAAGATGCGCCGATGTTCACCAATCTGTGAAAAGCTGCATCTAAAAATTGTCGAACATTTTCAGAATAATGTTCCTCAAAGTAAAATTGCAAAGACTTTAAATATATCATCATCTACAATGCATAATATCATCAAAAGATTCAGAGAATCTACCCCTGTGGGACAAGGCCGAAATGCAATATTGGATGCCTATGATCTTCGGGTCCTCAGACAGGACTGCAATAAAAAAAGGCATGATTCTGTGATGGACATCACTGCATGGGCTCAGGAATACTTCCAAAAATCACTGTCTGAGAACACTGTTCACTGCGCCATCCAAAAATGTTAAAGCTTTATCATGCAAAGAGGAAGCCATATCTGAACATGATCCAGAAATGCTGCCGTCTTCTCTTGGCCAAAGCTCATTTAAAATGGTCTGTTGCAAAGTGGAAAACTGTTCTGGGGTCAGAACAGGAGGGTACCTCTCTGGACTAAAGAGAAGAGGGACCTTCAGGCTTGTTATCAGCGCTCACTTCAAAAGCCTGCATCTCTGATTGTATGGGGGTGCAATAGTGCGTATGGAATGGGCAGCTTGCACATCTGGAAAGTATGCTCCCATCCAGACAACGTCTTTTTCAGGGAAGGCCTTTTATATTTCAGCAGGACAATGCTAAACCGCATACTGCATCTATAACAGCAAGGCTTCAAAGTAGAAGAGACCAGGTACTTAACTAGTCTGCCTGCAATCCAGACCTTTCACCAATTGAAAATATTTGGCGCATCTTGAAACGAAAAATACGAAAAAGAAGACCCAGGACTGTAGTTTCAATCCTATACATATCAGGCCAGAATGGGACAAAAATCCAGCAACTAGTCTCCTCAGTTCCCAGACATTTACAGAGTGTTGTTAAAAGAGGGGATGCTATACTGTGGTAAACTTGGCCCTGTCCCAACTTTTTTGAGATGTGTTGCTGCCATCAATTTCAAATTTTCCTTATTTTTTTCTTAAAATGTTACATTTTCTCAGTTTAAACATTTGATATGTT